ATTAGCATTTCAAGCTCTTCGTAATGGTATGCATCTTGTAATGACCGGCCACTTCGACTTCGCGACCCTCCCTTGTCAGTTCTCCAAAACCACCGTCAACTTGCACGTGTAAATTGAAAACCTGTTTAAGTTCTTAACACTCTTGAGTTTTATGTACTCAAGATCTTCCATAACTTGATTCTTTGGAAAAAAAACTTCTGCGTAACTCGTCCAGCTTGAAACACTTGCGTCTCTAACAGCCTAATCGCGGCACGCCAACCAATCAGAGACGCACACCAGTCAGGCTGCTAAGGCTAGCGGTGCAGAAGGGCCCTGCTAAGGCTAGCGGTGCAGAAGGGCCGTCTCCCCTAACGAAGATATGAGGTAAGGGACCATATGACCGTTGTCTTAACTCCGCGCAGAGCTACTGGTTCAAATTTGTGGCGCAGGTAATAACGTGGAGCTGCGCGGTCTGTTTGGATGTACGATCAAAGGTTTACATTGTAACCTTCACAAACCTCTAGCGATCTGGCAATTTACCAAATATCTTCAAATTCACCTGGCCTCTATTCTAGAGGCATAGACGAGTATGTAGCTGTAGCTAAAGTTATAAAAGTATGCTAAAGCTTGATTGCAAATTGTGTTCAAGTATCAGGTTGTTCCATAAGTTCATAGCATTTTTGGAACAACGAAATGACAAATATTGTAGAAATTTACTCGATAATGTACTTTCCGCTGTTGCGCACAGCCTTCTGCCACCATGCAGTCAGATTTTGAACTCCGATTTTCAAAGCCCAACAGGTCTGGTCCCAAACTTGGGCTGCGTACAGTATGATCGACTGTTTGCAGTTTTCAGCGCAGGAACCCCTGCCCGTCCTGCAAAAGTCTTGCTCATTGTATACCATGTAAACCCTTAGTTTGTTTAGAGCAATCTAACCATTTTTTGTCTCATACTGACGGAAAAGAGCCATATTTCACAACCAGCAAAAAATACTATGCAAAGCACTTTCTTAAGAGAAAACGGGCAGATGTCGAACATGCTTCTTGTGGTATGAAACTTCCACATCTAGAAGCTGAAAAGACGAAGTGGGTTAGCTTTCAATCAAGACCAATAGATTCATTATAAAAAGCATGATTAGCTTTTTCAACAGCATGCTTTGCCGCAAATTAACCGCTTTCCAGAGAGGTGAGGATGAGATTGAAAACGCTACGAACTTATGGAACGACCTAAGTAGAAGCCGCAGGAAACCAAACTGCGCTGCGACTGAAATCGCATGAGGTATGACCGGCCATTGTAGAGTGTAGCGAAACTAACTATCTACAGACGTTCAAACAGTTCAGTTGTTACACTATTCCATGTGCTCAAACTCACATCCTGTCGGTAGATCCTCGAAAGATCGCCGAGTGTATAGATTGATTTACGCTCGAAAACATCAGAAAGCGATCCAAGTCCGATTTCTCCCCGATTGAGCCATCTAAAGTGAAACTGCTTCGATGGCCACAAAATCACCTAAGTTGCTCACTCTTTGATGGTGGTATCAGGAGTAAGCGTGCGAAAGTCATCAGTGAAAATGTTTCCTTCTCTTGCCATTTCTAATTCCATCATACGATCAAATCTGTCCTCGTTCATAAGCACCCATAGAACTTTTCGAGTCTTTCTTGCATCTGTCAGCTGAATCTCTCATCATTTTTGACATTCACACAAAGCACTTCAGTGGAGGATTACGTACATGAATCTCCCAGGAAGCACACATTTCATCTACGTATCCACCATAACTTGGACGTTTTATCGCATCATTACCAAAACGATTGCCACGTTTTCGCTGAAGACTGCCTGAGAAAAAAATCAAAAAATCAATAACCTCAATTAAATCAGTAGATTTCCACGGTTATCGTAGTGTTTCTACGATCCCAACAACTTTGCGCATAAACAGTGGCATCTATGGCCATTTTCTGAGAGCAGATGACCAGCGACTTGTCGCATTCACAAGGATGGCATTAGTTTCCGCGCAATTGTTGTCGTCACCGCAAGTGCACTATATTAATAGAAGCGACTCTTACCACTGTACATCGAATCGCGAAGTTCGAACCTTCCATTTTCTTTCGAAGCGTCACGTAAAGGATTTGCGCAGACTTTTAGGGCAATGTAGCAGGTGTCGATCGTTCTTCCATCACTGAAAATCCACAATTGACTCAAGCTCTGTTAGATGTTTCAGAATGTTTTACAGTTCTTCCAAGATGAATGCCAGTTGCAC